TTATATTCATCTTTGGATATTAAAAGGTTAATTCAAAAGAAATCACAATATAACATTTGTTCACTGACCAACGGACGAGAAAACAAGGCTTACAGTAACACCATTTCGATAGATTTCGTCACTCTTTTCCCGTAAACCAAAATGAATGCGCAGAACATCGTTTCGACTTTGAGCGATTTAATTGCAAATAATTCAACCGTTACACAACAGTCTCCGATTACATCACAGGAGCGACAAATGGCCGAACATCTAGCTGACACTGTTAAATTAATGGCCAAGTTTTAGACGCAGAAAACTCGCTCAAAATCTCGCTTAGAACCTTGAAAAATTGCTTTCTGTAGGTTTGACGGCGTGCTCTTTCATTTGGACAGGTCAAGGAAATTTTTTAGTGAAAATGGTTTTTCGATTGAAAAAACCAATATCTTTAAAAAACGGGTCTTTAAATCGAAAGCGGGCAAAAACCATTGTGATATTCGGAATCCGCACGTTCGATTACCTATTTTCAACTGAGTTTAAGCTCAGAAGCGAGGAGGCAGTTGGTGGCCTTTCCTCGTGAGTTCGGTCACGAAAAAATGTTGTATGAGGGAGGACATATTAGTATTAAATTAGCATGATTATCATTCGAATCATAGAATAGGACCGGTGCATCGTCGTTCAGTTTTGTTCCGATATAGAAATTAGAGATTTTGCTTGTGTATTTATAGTCAAACAATCAAATCGTGTACATTTGTCCTGCGTATGAGCAAATAATCAACAAGCATGCACTAATCTTTAATATACCGTAAAAAACAATAATACAAAACAACAGTTCCTTGTACGGTTTTTACCCGTAGTGGAAAGCTTTCTTTTTTGGAATGTTTGGTCACGATCTGTCACTTCCCTCTATTCCACTGGGAATTATTCTATCCGTACATAAGTTTGATTTATTTCTATTAAAGTTGTACTATGTGTACAAGTCTTCTGTCACACCATTTGTATCATGCTTATTAAGCACAATATGACGCTTGGCCTGTTTCTGCCCATAAAATTTTGTCTTCAATATTTTTCAGTTCATTACGCAAACGTGTGTGACCATATTGTTCAGCTCTCAATAACAATTTTTTTGACCATGCGAAACAATTTTTGGCCTTAAAAATCTCATCATTATTCATGTAAACATCGCCTTTATTTTTCAAATATTCGGCAATACATTTGGTTAGATGAAGGAGAAGATCATCTTGGTGTGTCACCATCGCCATGATTTTCTCTTGATAGTCCATTGCCCATACGCTATTATGCGATATATCACCACAGAATATAAAGATGCTTTTGAGTTGTGATAGATCAGCGATTTTTGGTACAATCTCTCTGCCCATTGAACCGGATGAAATAAAAAATATTTGTTTATCGCCATTCGCGTGAATAAATTCAAGACATGTGTCTTCCTTGTCGAATATTTCCAAACGATAGACGGTCTCTTGCAACGACCTTAGAACAACATCATCAAGCATGATAGGCTCATCAATATTTGCTTCGGCTGTTGTCAACGTTTCTAACGGTTGAGTGATCTTACGGAATAAAGCTTTCAATTCGCGATTATTTTCTGGTTCGCCGATATGAGAATCAAGCCACACGGACACATGATCGGAGTATTTGCCCACATTTCTGTCATCATCCTCCGTGTAGGGGGTACACGATGACATTGTTATTACTGTTAACTATTTACGTCTCTTTATTGTTAAAAATATTTATCATTCAGTTCTAAATAATATATCAGTGCGTCTATTTTCATGCTACAGACATTTTTCATGTATATAGAATAGATCTAGAGTGAATAGAAGAACTGTGCATGAAGAGAAATGAAAAAAGAATACAAAAATATCGCGATGACGAGACATAAAGAAAGGAAGTTCACTGTGGGTATATTCTACAGGTATTACCCGTAGAATATTTGCAACTTAAAGTTGGAAAAAACCAATTGATATGACGGAAAAAATGTCTTTTTCATAGAAAGAATTGAAGAAAAGAAAAAGAAAATCTTTTTCGAGTGCTTCGAGATGAGGGATAGTAAATGTTTTTAATGTAACTGGATTTGAAACGAAAAGTACAAACGATCTATATTCTGCGTCCTTCCGTAATTATCGTTTGTCATTGACAGAACGTTCATCTTTTCAGGTAACGCCCAATAGTGCTTTTTGTGCTCTTTCTGAAGTTGGAAAAAACCGAGTGTGTAAGAAAAGAATGTGCCTTTTGTCTGGAAAGAGCTGAAGAAAAGAAAACAAAATCATTTTTTTTTTTCATTGCTTTTATACCTCGAAATGAGTCAGCAGCTCTTCCAGTTTTGTCAATTCGTTGTGATCTCTGTTGGCATACGAAACTACCAAAATGTCAATCATCATTGGTTTCGGGATTATGAATTTGAAACGAAACTCTATAAATTCTCTATGAATCTCGATAATTTTAATATTTCTGTAATTTAAACAAATATTTTGCGAATGTACGGCATCCCACATCAGAAATGTCGAAGTTTTGTAAATATCCAACGTGATAAGTAGTCCATGGCTGTATAGTCTCTAATGTCTGCTATCTCTATCTATCGCAGTCAGATCTTTATCAAAGATTCTTTGGACGGTTTTAAGGAAGTGTTCTGAAAGACTGGAAAACAGACTTTCCGGCAAACTAACTCAAGCAGAATCATTTCAACTATGCTGATTTGTAGAGCAAAGACGTCTTATATCTCTAGGCGATATCTCGATCAAAAATTATGCCGGCTCTGGTAAAGCGTCGTAAATCATGAGTAGCGCCATCGTATCTCAAAGCCTAGTAAGCGTTCGAATCTTTTCTGTCAAATGAAGTGCTGGACGGCTCATCTTGATTTTAAATTGAAGCTTAAGCTGGGACAATGACGTGATAGAGCTCAGTTTTTCTTTTAAATGTGTTATTTCCAGACAGTCGATGATGCTGACCTGCCAATCCATGTTTTATCTGGCAGTTTTCAGATACCGCCCTCTATCAAATTCTCTACATATGTTTGCCCTGAGACGCTCTTTAATAGAATTTTATATCAGTTTCATGCTTCTAGTTAAAATAGTTTCCTCTGAAATGCAGTTAAATTTTTTTATCTGTCGCCTAAGTCAAGAACTCTCCATGAGAGAGAAATATCGGCCTATAAAAAAATGAAACTGCTTGTCGTGACGCCATAGATATGTCCGTTTCTACTCAACCATCCTTCCGCCATTTTCGCTGAAACGTAAACTCAAGAAATCTCCGAAACGGGCGTTTGGTTTTGCTTCAAACTCCTACACTATATTTCTCTTCTCATGAGTTGTTTATGATAAAAATAGGAGCTTTTAAAAATGCGTTAAATATTTTAAGAGTCCAACTCTTCTTCAAGGAGAGGGTTTTTCGGCAATCTCACAGGTTAATGTAGAAATAGACAGTAAATGAGAGAAGGAAGCGAGAAAAAAGGTCAACATTAGGGACTAAGAGTTAACGCTTTCTATGGAAAGAATTTTAAGGAAATTCTAACATTTTGAGTTTACTGCTTCCAAAAGCTTCTCGATTGAAAATAAAAGTTCCACTGTATTGTACCATTAACAAAACCTTTAGCTGTAAATGAAAACCCACGACTCTCTACTGTTTAACACAACGGATAAGTTTTTTTAACATTAAACACCTCATTTGGAGTCACGCATGAGCGACATCTTCAGAACACCTACGAGGGAAGGCCACCAACTGCCTCCTCGCTTTTGAGCTTAAACTCAGTTGACAATAGGTAATCGAACGTGCTGATTCCGAATATCACAATGGTTTTTGCCCGCTTTCGATTTAAAGACCCGTTTTTTAAAGATGTTCGGCCATTTGTCGTCCCTGTGATGTAATCGGAGACTGTTGTGTAACGGTTGAATTATTTGCAATTAAATCACTCAAAGTCAAAACGATGTTCTGCTCATTCATTTTGGTGTAAGGGTAAAGAGTGACGAAATCTATCGAAATGGTGTTACTGTAAGCCTTGTTTTCTCGTCCGTTGGTCAGTGAACAAATGTTATATTGTGATTTCTTTTGAATTAACCTTTTAATATCCAAAGATGAATATAA